TGTCATGGACGGAGCCCATGGCCTTGGCAAGGGGCTCGCGACGGCGGATGGCCGCCAGGGAGCCGTGCTCCGTAAGCGTGTCAGCAGCTCGAGCATGAGCAGCATTGGCACGGCAAGCAGCGCGAGCAGCAGCACCAACAGCAACAGCAGCGACGTGGGCGGCAGCAGTGGCAGCAGCAGCAGCCACGGACGCGTTGATGACGACCGTCTCGAGTACGATGAGCTGGACGACGATGGCCGCGAGCGTGGAGGGATGAGCCTGGGATCGTTCAAGCGTCTGCTGAATGCGCCGTCGTTGTTTGATGTGTGGAAGTGATGTGGCCGCGTGGTTGTTGAGTGGCAAATGAAGCGCCGATGCGTGCCTTGTGGTTGTTGTCTTGTGGTTGTTGTCGTCCATCTTGCAGCGAATCCATCGCGGTCCGTTCATCGCCGCCGTGAAACGAAAAGAAAAGAAACGAAAAAAAAAAAAGAAAAAAACTAGAAAACCTGCGACGACAGCGACGAGGCTGGGCTTGCCGCACATTCAGACAATCGAGCGCACGCCATGGGCACCAAGCAGAAGAAGGTGCGTGGTTCAACGTCGGCAGCGGGTGCGGCATGCGCAGCCGCCCGGCCCGCAGGCACTGACCGCTGCATCTGCCCGCCTGCTGCGCTCTGCGGCGCTGGCCCGCTGGAATCGCACCGCCCGGCCGCACACAGGGCGAGGTCGGCAATGCCGTCAAGTACATGGCCCGCTCGCAGGCCATCCGCAAGCTGCAGATTACGCTGGCCCAGTTCCGGTGCGTGCCCGTCGCCTGCTTCGGGTGGTGCCGCTGCCCGTCGGCGCTCTGGCGAGGCGGCGTCGCCATGCCTGCCGCCGTGCCCGGCCCGACTGCTGACGCTTGCCTGCCTGCCTGCCGTCCGCCGAAACCACCAACAAAAAAAACGGCTGCTCCCTCAACGGCCGCACGATGACCATGTGTGTGTGGACGGCGCTGTGGACGGCGCTGTGGACGGATCGCTGCGACTGCAGCCGTCTGTGCATTCTCAAGGGCATCTACCCCGTCGAGCCCCGCAACAAGCGCGCCGTCACCAAGGGCTCGACGGCGCTGCGCACATACTACTACCGCAAGGACATCCAGTTCTTGCTCCACGAGCCGGTGCTGCAGGTCATCCGTGAGCAAAAGGTGCATCTCCGCAAGATCAGCAAGGCCATTGGCAAGAAGCAGTACTCGGTCGTCAAGACCCTGCGCGAGGCCCACCCCGAGTACACGCTCGATCACATTGTCAAGGAGCGGTAGGTCTCGTCTGGCTCGCGAGCAGCGATCGCTGCGGATGCCGGTGCTTCTGCTGGATCTGACTCGAGTTGCGCCTTGCCGCTTCAAGGTACCCGACGTTTGTCGATGCTCTGCGCGACCTCGACGATGCGCTGTCCATGATCTTCTTGTTTGCCACTCTGCCGGTGGACGACAAGATCCCGGCTGCACACATTCGCGAGTGCCAGCGTCTGAGCGCCGAGTTCCAGCACTTTGTCCTCATGTCTGGCTCTCTCAAGCGCGTGTTCCTGTCCATCAAGGGCATCTACTACCAGGCCGAGATCCGCGGCCAGGACATCACCTGGATCACCCCTTACCAGTTCTCCCAGGCCGTATGTGTGCCGCCCGTCCTGTCTGCTCTGGGCTGCTGTGGACATCCGGCTGACACGCAACTCGCGACTGGAACCATCCGCATAGGTTCCCTCTGACGTTGACTTTCGTGTCATGGGCACCTTCCTCGAGCTGTACGAGACGCTCCTTGGCTTTGTCAACTACAAGCTGTACTCGGACCTTGGTCTCGTGTACCCTCCCAAGATCGACCTTGACCGCGACGCCAACGCTGGCGGTCTCGCCGCCTTTATCCTCGAGTCCAAGGACCAGAGCGGCGTTGTGCAGTCGATTGCTGCCACGTCCAGCGCGCTGTCCGCGCTGACGGCATCCGAGTCGGAGCAGGTCAAGCAGTCTGCCAAGCGCATCAAGACGCTCAAGAAGAAGCTGTCCAAGATCCAGGACGGCGAGGAGAACGGTGCCAGCCAATCCAACGGCCAGGACGAGGACGAGGACGAGGACAACGATGCTGATGCCATGGACATGGACGTGCCCATGCCTGTGGTCAACCCCACGTCGGTCGAGGAGACCGTGCCGACGCTCGCCACATCCGCCACATCGAAGCGCGCCGCTGCTGCTGGCGGCAACGGCCAGACGCTGTTTGCGTCGTGCGTGTTCTGGCTCTCGCGCGAAGTGCCCCGGTACTCGCTCGAGTTTGTCATCAAGGCGCTTGGCGGCCAGGTGGGCTGGGACGAGACGGCTGGTGTCGGGTCGCCGTACACGATCGACGACCCGCGCATCACGCACCACATTGTCGACCGTCCCGTGACGAGCGTCGGCGAGCTGCCCGTCGGCACCGAGCGCGTTGCCGGCCGCGAGTACATCCAGCCGCAGTGGGTGTACGACTCGATCAACGCCGGCAAGCTGGTCAAGACGGCCGGCTACCACCCGGGCGAGACGCTGCCGCCCCACCTGTCGCCGTTTGTGACGGTGCGCGAGGGCGACTACGTGCCCGAGGAGGCTGGCGGCGAGGCTGTCGAGCTTGTCGACGACGACGCGGTCATGGCGGCCGAGGCTGCCGCTGCCGTCGAGGAGGAGGACGAAGAGGCCGCACACCAGGCCGAGCTCGACGCCGAGGCTGCCGGCATCAACTACAGCGAGTACAACGCTGGCGATGCCGATGCCAATGCCGATGCCAATGCCGAGACCGACGCGCCGGTTGCAGCCAAGAAGCGCAAGCCGGCTGCCGGCAAGGGCAGCAAGGGCGAGGTGTCGGCGGATCCCAAGAAGGAAGAGGCCGAGCAGAAGGAGATGGCCAAGATGTTGATGAGCAAGAAGCACCTCCGCCTGTACAACAAGATGCAGTTTGGCAACAAGCGCAAGGCGGATGCGGCCAACAACCTCAAGCAGAAGAAGGTGGCTCTTCTCAAGAAGGAGCAAAAGTCTGGCAAGAAGCAGTAGATGCCGTGCGGCTTGATGTGCTGATGATGGTTGTGGTGTCTGTGGTGGCTGGTGGCTGGGCAGGAATGAAATCTTTATTGATCCAGGTCTATGTCGGTACTGTGCTGAGGATGGAATGATGGATGGAACGGTTCAGAACCACGACAGATGGCGTGGCGGGGTGGGGTTGGACGCGCTGGGTGGCGGTCGGTGGTCGCTGTTGGACGGGGTCGGGTCGCACACGGCAAAGTCGGCATGCGTGACAGCCATGGGCGACGGCGATTGAAGCAACTCAAAGAGATCCATGGTTGTGCTGGCAAACTGGTCGAGTCTGGCCGGCGTGGTGGCCGGCATGGAGCGCACGGTCTGCAGCGAGGACAACAAACTGGATGATCCCGAACTGGATGGCGAGGCGGGTGTTGGGCAAGGCGTCTTCGGGGGACAGTCCAGCGAGGATGCTGTGGGGGTGATCGGCAGAGGCTGAAGTTGCTGCTCGGCTGCGCGGCGGTGGTAGGCGTTCTTGACGGCATCCGTCTCTGCCAGCCACATCTGAGCGGCGATGCCGGCAATCTCCTGCTCGACCGTCATGAAGCACGGCACTGGACCGTTTAGCAACTCTGGCTGCGAGAGCGAGGACATGTCGGCCAGGTGGCGCTGGATGTCCTGGCGCTTGTCTGCCTCGTACAGCGACTGGGCATTGACAGGCCGGCTGGTCTTGTGTCGGGCCGATCGCAGCTGCTGTTGCGCTGGCGGCTGATTGGCCTGGCCGTTGGAACGTGCACCTGCATGTACAAACACCGGAGCACGCAGTCAGCGATAGGACCCATTATCCGCTATACCAAACGTGGCGTCCTACCTATCCACGATCGGAAAACAAATTTTGGCGCTTCGGCGGCACCAATCACCCATGGCTGAGTTGGTCCGCTCGTCTGTGTCGAGCCGAGTAGCGGCACAGGTGACGCAGTGCTCGGTGCACAATCCGCCCGGCGATCGCACGTGCGATCAGAAAGCGCCAGAGTGGTGTAGCTTGTTATGCTCGACGCAGTGCTGCTGCTGCTGCTGCTGCTGCTGGCGGCCCTGGCCATGCCGAGCGGCGCAAGCTCAACGTCGTGGCCGTCTGCGTTGCAGATGTTGCTGGCGGCGTCCTCGCTGGTGTCGTCAACGGAGAGCCCACCCGCCCTGGTGCAGGCCGGGAAAGCGCCAGGCTGACCAAGCGCGGAGGGCGGCGGCAGACGGGCACGGTCTGCGACCGGCGTGGTCTGGACAACCGAGTCCAATTCGGCACATGGCGACGATGGGGAAATTTTGGCGTGTGTGTCGCCCTGCACCGCAGGGCCAGCTGAGCCAGCTGAGCCAGCCAGCCCAGCAGCAACGTCTTGTGCACGCTGTGTGTACTCGTCACGGACGCTCTGCGGAGCCTTCTTCCACATCTCGCCCAGGACCCGAGACTGGCCACGGCTGTCGACGTTGGTGTGCTTGAGCAGGTGGAGGTGGTCTCGGCGGTAGAGAATGAATGCATTCGGCGGCCGGATGCGGCGGGGCGATGCCTTCAGGGCCGGCTGCTGCGCTTGTGCACCGGGCTGCACTCCCGCCATGGCGTCTGCTGACACTGCTACTGGCAGGCTGTGCCATGCAGAGTTGGCGGGCTGCTGGCGATTTTGAATGGGTGGCATGAACAGCGAATGGGCATGCCGCCATTTCGACGACGCCGACCAAGGCTGTGCCGGGGATGGGCGAGGACGCTTGGCAAGCGGGAGGTATGCTGGGCGAGTGGCTGCCGAGTTGTCGGCGTCTGGCCGTGGTGCAAGCATCCGCCGTTTGGATGCGGACGACGGTGGAGAGGCCGCCGCCCCTGCCGTGTGTGCGGCCGCCTGGTGAATGAGTGTCGAGTCTGCGCATGATGTGCTGGGCATTTCTGTCGATCGGATGCTCGGAAACTTTCGGTCCCGAATGCCGCAGAGGTTGTGCACGAATTTGAAAAAAAGTTCAAAACGGCGACGCCCTCCGTGGGGCTCGAACCCACGGCCTTGCGGTTAAAAGCCGCACGCTCTACCAACTGAGCTAGGAGGGCATCGGAAAAATCGAAAATGGTAGAGTATATGAGCCGTGCTGACTGGCGGGAATCACAACGATCTGCATCCAGCATGTCTCGATTGGCTTGCCATCAGTACGATACAGCCGCGGTGTTCCTTCCATGGATATGCATACTTCACTATAAAAGCCCGCACAGCACGCTCCACCAGCCATGACATGGGCTTGTTGGTATGGTGTGTTGGTTGATGCCTCAAGTTCCCACGCGTCATTTGTGTTGGTTGTCCAGACAACCACAAAGCGAGCAATCAGGCGTGACAATGCAGCTGAGGCGACGAAAGACAGACGACGCAGACGCAGCAGCAACGACCAGCGACGAGCAAGTGCGCAGTCTGCAGAGCCAGCTGCAGAGCACAGCCGAGCAGCCGGCTGTGGTCGAGCAGGTCGTTGGAGCGAGTGACAGCCAAGCCGTCGAGCCAGGGTTGCCAGGACAGCCGCAAGAGCAGCCGCCGGCCAAGCGACTCAAGACAGCAGCAGCAGCAGCAGCAGCAGCAACGACACCACAGCCAGTTGTGCCTCGCTATGTGGTGCCGCCAGCCACCGGCGACCTTGCATACGGACGCAGCCACTGGGACCGCAAGCCCGCCGAGATCCATGCCATGATCCTCAAGCACGCCGGCCCGCTCACCCTCTTCGTCAACGGCCTGCTCGGCGACAAGGCCACACTCGACGAAGCAACCACACTGCGGCTGTGGACCGATGCGTTCAAGATGGACTGGCAGGGCGATCTGGCTCTGCTGCCTGACGTTTGGCTGTCGGCCGACAACGGACTGATGCTCGCACACTCTCGCTCCATGTACGGCCGTCTCTGCAAGCGCTTTCCTGAGCAAACCGAGCGCTTCTATGCGGGATACGACGCAGCCAACAACACCTACGACGAATCGCGCAATCTGGTTTATATGGATCACAGTCGCTTGCTTCTCATTCCCATGCGGCACAGCTGGTTCGATCTGATCGACTTTACGTATCCGATCGCACTCGCACGCATTGCGATATACTTTGGCTGTCTTGACTTGCTCAAGCATCTCGACGACAAGTACAAGACTCTCCAACGCTGGATGGCGAAGCACGATCCGACAACCCCGTACTGGCACTACGTAGTTGACCAAGCAGCCCTATACGGACACCTCGATGTTGTGCAGTACCTGTTTAGTCTTGGCGTGTCATGCACGACTGAAGCCATGGACTCTGCTGCTGGAAATGGCCATCTCCATGTTGTCATCTGGCTACACGAGAACAGAAGGGAAGGATGCACGACTTCTGCGATGGACGGCGCAGCTCGAAACGGCCATCTACATGTCGTCAAGTGGCTGCATACCAACAGGACCGAGGGATGCACGACTGCTGCGATGAATAACGCTGCTGGAAATGGTCATCTGCACGTTGTCAAGTGGCTCCACGAGAATCGAACGGAAGGATGCACGGCTTATGTGATGAATTCTGTGGCGATATTTGGACATTTGCATGTCATCAAGTGGCTCCACGAGAATCGGACGGAAGGATGTACCCAAAAGGCGATGGCACATGCTGTGCAGTGTGGGCGTCTGCATGTGGTCAAGTGGCTCCACGAGACCCGCAGAGTGGAGTGCACGCCCGCCGCAATGGATGCCGCCATCATGCGTGGACAGATGGACGTCGTCAAGTACATGCATTCGAAAGGCGTTCGTGCATCAAGCAATGCTGTTGAGACGGCAGTCAGATGGGGTCATATTGAGATGCTGCGGTACTTGCTAGACTGCGGATACGCGGTTGGGCTCGGAGCACTCGAATGCGCTAGGAATGCCGACATCGCCAACATCCTCCTTGGCAGCCTCACACTCGATCGGGCACAGGCGCTGCTCGCAGAAGCCAACCGAAGGAATGCTTCCAAGGCCACCATCGAGAGACTCGAGTCGACCATCAAGAAACTACAAGAGTCAAGCACGTGATGAACGGATCGCAAAGGCTCGTAGTTGGAATGAAGACGTGATGCGACACTTGTCGACACCAAACGCCATCTGCCACTTGTCCGCCCATGCCGCCACGACTTCCACAGCGGCTGCCAATGCTGCATGAGACTCTGCGAGAATGACCACATCGTCTGCAAACATCAGCCCACGGATGCCATGGCCGTCTGCCACGGCAGGGATGGCTGATCTCAGGGATACCATCGAGGCTGTCGTTGAGGAACAGGTTGAACAAGAGGCCAGATAGCGGGCAGCCTTGGCGGACGCCTCGCCTGACGCTGAATGGCTCAGCAAGAACATTGCCTGATCGTGCACATGCGGTGGATGACGTGTAGAGCGCCTTGAGGAACTCGTACGTGCGTGGCATGAGATGCCCATCTTGTGCAGCTTCCACAGCAGTGCGCCGATCGGCACCGTGTCGAATGCCTTCTTGATGTCAATGAATGCTGCATGCGTGGGCAGCTTGCGTGCACGCCGCCGCTGGATGATGTCGACGAGAACACAGACCTGCGCAACCGCCTCCTGACCGCAACGGAAGCGATCGAGGTGTTCTGTGATGGTCCACGTGCGTTGGAGCTTGGCGACACGCACAATGGCCGATTATGGAACAATGAACAGTGCCACGACCGTTGATTTGTCAATGGCGGTCGGGCATACGAAGTCGATGACCCGTGCGGAGCGCCACGATGGTCTCGGCATATATGATCGAGATGCCCCAGCTCTCCACGGGCCCCTCAGATCGTCAACCCCCCATCGCTTCCATCGTCTGGGCTCAGGTCGCACACATCGGCCAGCCAGCCAGCCATCCCCGTTACCACACACCACACATTCCCAACACCATGCTGCCCATTCGGATCATTGTGGCCGTGGCTGCCATTGCAGGCAGCGCTCTGGCCGCACCTCCCCCGACAGAGATGATCACCGTCGACGCTGCGGCCGGCATGTACGTCTTGCATCTGCTCTCTCCACGCTGGGTCGGCAGTGCTGCTTGCTCACACTCTGCGCGTTCATATCCCCATCCAGGATCACTGGCGGCCGCTCCGCCACAGAGGGCTTCTCGTTTGTCGGCATCCCCTACGCACAAGCCGCCCGCTGGTCGCAGCCCATACCCCTGGCCACCTTCTCAACGCCGTTCTCTGCCCTCACTCCCCGTCCCGCCTGTCCGCAGATCTGTCGCCAGGTCTCCATGTTCTGTCCGCAAGACATGGACGAGGACTGCCTCTCGCTCAACGTGTGGACGCCCTTCAGCACGCCCGGACAGCTGCGTGCGGCCAATGCAATCGGTGCGATTGCTGCGCCTCGCTCCGATGCAGCGCTTCTCCCGGTGCTCGTGCTCATCCATGGCGGCTCGTTCGAGCAGGTGTGTGCACAATACGCTTGGCTGTGGCGCGCGACCTTGGTATTGTTGAACTGCAAGTCCTCACTCATGCTCTGCAATGCATGCCACGATGGCAGGGAAGCGCCGACATGCCTGCCCTGCGTGCTGCCGAGCTCGCCAATGCCACGCAGTCCATTGTCGTGACTCTCAACTACCGCCTCGGCATCTTTGGCTTCCCAGGCTCCTCGCTCCTCGCCAACTCCGGCGTCAATCTTGGCATTCTCGACCAGCGCTTGGCCATCGAATGGATCCGCTTCAACATCCGCTCGTTCGGCGGCGACGCTTCCAGGATGACGCTCGCCGGCCAGTCGGCTGGTGCCATGTCTGCCCTCGTCCACATGGCCGATCCGACCACAAAGTCTCGATTCCGCAGCCTCATTCTCATGTCGCCTCCTGCAGTCGCCCTTCGGTCTCCAGCCCGTGCCACAGCCGACACGACCGAGCTGTCGGGCCGAGTCGGGTGCGCAACGTCCAGCACCGATCCAGCCGCTCTGGCTGCATGCATGCGATCCAAAACGACGCGCGAGCTGCTGGACGCCATCGAGGCCATTGCAAAGGACAAGTCGCACACACCTTCGCTGGACACGTCGCTGCCTGCCGTGATTGACGGCACAGTCATCCCACAGCACCCCATCCAGATTCTCGAGAATGCCAACATCATGGCCGGCTTGAAGGTCATGCTCGGCGCGACGGCCAACGAGACATCGTACTTTCTCAGGAGCATGTCTACAGTTGGCTTGCCGCAGCCGATCTACACGGTTGCCGTTGATGCCGTCTTTCCTGGTCGCGGCGAAGACGTCCGTCGTGCCTACGCCGACACGGGACTGGACCACGGCCCTCTTGGCGACGATTTCGGTCCTCGTCTTGCACGCATCGAGTCGGACCATCTGTTTGTCTGTGCACCGCAGCGCAGCGTCCGTCGTCTGCAAGCCTCGCCCAGTCCTCCCAACGCCACCCGTGTGTTTTCGTACTTTTGGGAAACGCCGTGGACGAGCACGTTCGACGATCCTGTTGGCAGGCTCTGCGACAGCGATGCGTGCCACACAACGGATCTTGCGCTGTTCCTTCGGTCGCCGTCTGATGCGCACGGCGCTCGCGTGTCGGCTGCTTTCCGCCAGTACGCCGCCAATCTGATGTACAATGGCGATCCCAACATCCCGGCTCCTTTCGCAGCTACAGTGCCTGTTCCTTCATGGCCTCCCTTTGACGCAGCCGACGGTGGCAGAGCCACCGCGTTCCCTGTCGCACGGTTCCCGACGGTCGTCTCATCAGCCAGCAGCGCACCGGCCGTCGTCATTGAGCCAAGCCACCCCCTCAAGTCGCGCTGCGACCTCATGGACACCATTCCCTACGAATACGAGCCGCCAGTCACGGTCAGTCTTCCCGACTCGGCCATCATCTCGCTGCCCATCATGATCACGTTCTGGTTGATCCTCATCCTGATCTGCATCGTCCAAGTCGCCATTCTCGTCTTTGCAAAGTGGTACTCGCAGCGTCTCGAGTTTCTGCTCCTCCAAGAGAAGCCCCTCAAGACAACCAAACCGTCTTTGCTGTCTGCAGACGACGAAGACGACGACGAGGACGAGGACATCACCGCCCGCAACAACAACATTGGCTCGGATGTGGCAATGTCTAGTTCTCTGATGGACTTCCAGC